CTAAAGGGAGGGAAGGGCATGCCTTTGGGTGAGGCAAAGACATAAAGTGTAACTACAATGTTTGCACCCTCACAAAACCCTGGAATAATAAATAAATAAAAAAAAAAGAATGATCTTATCGTAATGAACTGAGGGGAACTTAGCAAAGTTTCTTTGTTCAGATCTTCTTTGTGGCCCTGTGTCTTTAGAGATAGGGACATACCTTCTCTCCGGATATAAGGAAGGCACCTCTCAAGGGTTTTATGACCTGCTTTAGGCGAAAGTCAGAAAAATCCTTTCTAAGTTTTATGGCCTGCTGCACAAGAGAAGGGAGGAAGGTGAGAGTGATATTCCTGCTTCTGCATTTTCTCAAAGGCCAATACTCCATATTTTGGAGTAATGTGTCCTGAACCCCATCACTTTCTCCCTCACTTTCTTTTCATTCATTCAACATATATTTATTGAGTACCTATCATAAATTCTGTATTGGGTGCTGGGGATAAACTAGAACGCAAGCCTTTGTTAGTCAGGACTCATGGTAGCAAATGACAGAAATTCAAAACAGAGATATTTATTTAACTAAAAGGAAGGATGATGGTGCAATGGGCCTCTGAGACGATTTGAATCAGGAACTTGAATACTACCATGATTCTTTGTTACTTCAGATGTTAGCTTTCTTCTCTCAGACTATATTCATCATTGAGGCTCAAAACATTGCCTTAAGAAATGAATATTGCTCATCTCTCCTAGATTTGTCACCAGGGAAAGATTGCGAATAGTTTCTCTGGTTCCAAATTTTTAAAATTCTATTGGAAGGTTGTTGCCTTGTGCTACTCGTGCCAGGTCTCAGCAGTGGAAATATTTCACTTATAACCAGAGGGATGGGATACTATTATTTGTTCATCTTTGGTCAGATGGCTACCCCTACACCAATTATTTTGTCCAGAGAAGCAGGGTTTTATCAGAACATAGAAAATACTCGTTAGAACTGTGTATGTAGTTGGAGTGGGTATTAAAAACATTTCTCAGAAAAGAAAAGTAAGTAAAAGTACTCAACAGACAAAATAGTGATGTATTTTATAAAGAGTGACCAGGCTTCTGCCCCTATAAAGTTTAAAATCTAATGTGGGAGCCGGGCGCGGTGGCTCACGCCTGTAATCCTAGCTCTCTGGGAGGCGGAGGCAGGTGGATTGTTTGAGCTCAGGAGTTCGAAACCAGCCTGAGCAAGAGCGAGACCCCGTCTCTACTAAAAATAGAAAGAAATTAATCGGACAACTAAAAATATATAGAAAAAATTAGCCGGGCATGGTGGCGCATGCCTGTAGTCCCAGCTACTCGGGAGGCTGAGGCAGAAGGATCGCTTGAGCCCAGGAGTGTGAGGTTGCTGTGAGCTAGGCTGACACCACGGCACTCACTCTAGCCTGGGCAACAGAGTGAGACTCTGTCTCAAAAAAAAAAAAAAAAATCTAATGTGGGAGATAGTGTTAATCAAGTACAATAAAGAGTAGAAAGTGCTATAATAGAGAAAATATGTGGTGCTACAGGGAAATCTTGGAGGAAGAAAAAAGTAGAACTAAATTAGTAGGGCCCCTTTCATGAGGGGTATATAATATGATGAAGAAAAAGATATTTTTAATTACCTGTGATAGTTGTTAGTACCAAAATGATTTTTTTCTAGTATTTACAGAATATAAATGTTTCAGTAAAATTTCTTAGATGCACACTTATTTAATGAACAGGATATATCAAATAATACTTTAGAAAGATTTATTATTTTTAAATTATAATTATATATATTTTATTACAGAAACTGTGAGAAAACCAGTCCATGTGAATATGAATAGAGACATAAAAATGCCCTTAAGAAATTATGATTTAGAACTTCCAATGTCGCCTCACTGTGTACCTTCTCAGCTCTGCCTTGATGATACAGAAAACAAGTAGGTTTTAGCTAGGATTCATGTTATTATGTATTTAAACTGGTTATTATCAATACTTTTATTCACTGGAACATGTACAAGGGCTTACCTTCTAGCTCCAGTTTTTGTTTGTTTGGCTAGCAGTATTATAAAACTATTAAGACCTTTATCAAATGACCTAGGTGTTTCGTACACATAGTTTGACTTTACATATCATTAAAATGTCTATCTCTAGTATTAATATAATTTTTATAAAACTTGGTAATATGCTGGAATGATTTACTTAGAGTTCTGTTTCCATGTGCTTGTGTAGAACAGTATGAATTTTAAATACATAAAAAAGATAATTGTATTGCTATTTATATTTTTAACCTTAAAATTTTCTTTTCATTAGTATAAACTATCAAAGAGTAGGTAGCAAGGAAGAACTTGGCCCAGTTCAGGTGAGTTTTTAAAAATTTCTTTTAACAGTTGTGACATGTCACTGAATGATCTAAATTTCTAAATATTGGGGAAAATTAGTTATCCTCTGAAAAAATTTTTAGTCTCTAAAATCATTCTTTTAAAAGCTTTTCAGTATAGAAAACCTATACCATGAGAATATTTTAATTGCCTATGTGTACAACATTTGATTCTGCTTGTTACTGATGAGCTGCAGAGGACAGTTCACTTAAGGTTCACATGGCTATTGAGCATTTCATATCTTCAAACGTAGTGACAAGATTGTTTTATATCAAATTGTGATGTCCAGTCCTCACATTGATCTCAAGATACTTTCTCTTTCAAAAAATAGCAAATAACTTTTTTAGCAAATAAAATTTTTAATCAATTAGAAAATAACATAGATTGTTATTAAAGCTTGAAATTTTGATTAACATCCAACGCCATATTATTAACTGTTTCTTTCCTTTGAATTGCCAGAGTTAAACTAGATGAGAAGGATAATGGCGATGATACTAAAATCCCTTGGAAATCCTGTGACCTGAATTGTGGGTTAATGAAACTCAGATTTCCTGTCAATGCAAGATGGATTATTGAAATGGAGCATGAGGGTGGAGGGGAGCAGGAGTGGAAAAGGCAGTGGGAAGGGGGCTCCTAAGTGTAGTCTTCATTGATAATCTCCCTCATTTTAGGCAGTTCTGCCAGTTCTAATGGCTTGCCTTTCCTTAGGACTTTTTCTTTTGCAACTCATGCCCTTTTCACTTATTTTAATTTCACTATTGTGACTTTCTTCTTGTCTAGTTTATATATTTTGGCAATGTAAGTGATTTTGTCTTTTTTCTTATAGTCGTCACAAGTCATGGACTCATGTAGTATGTTTGAACCTCAGTTCAGCAGAGTAGAAAACTGCAGTTTCACTCCACCATCTTTTGCAGCAGAATTATCTTCATCTTCTAGCAGACATATTCCAAAACTAAATTTAACTCCCAGAATAGCACCCAGTGCTCAGAGAGTTGCATATGAAAAAAAGCAGAATGAGCAGGTACCTTTGAATCACTAGTTCTTAGCATTTTGTATCATTGTATTTTCATGATATAATCTTTATTCTCTTCTTATAGATTTAAAATATATAAGTTATAAATTACTATAGCTATAGCCAAATTAGGAAATAAATTAAGGATAATTCCTCTTAGGTCAAAAACTTAATTCTCTGCCCTGTAGAAGATTATGAATCCCCAAACTGGAATGTTCTTTAAAAAATCTTGGAAATTATCATTCTCTTAGAAAATTATTGATAGTAAAATTGAAAATAGTTCAGTGTGTTATATAGTAATTGATGTTTATAATTCCTATAAATGACTAGCTGGTGATGTCATGGTGACCCAATATTCATGATATGGGAAATGTCCAATAAATAGCAAAATATGGTCTCAGTGATGTCAAAGTAGTCTCTTAAAGTATGAATTGTGATGGCTTGATTCTTTTTTTGGTTTGAAAGAGTACAACTGTTTATATGCATTTTAATTAACCCTATACAAATATATAGAGCTATGTGGTGCTAAGATGTTCAATCATTGTGTGCTCTAAATTTGAAAATATAAAAATATAGAAATGTTAAAATTCTGAAATTTATCTGTCATAGAACATACCAGGAAATGATCTTCTAAATTTATATACAGTTTAAAAAACAAAGTTATTTAAGATTACTATAATAATGTCTAATGGTAATAAGGAAAATGGTTATATAAACACTGTATCTTCATACCAAGAATATTTAGATTTGAATTTCGCCCATTTTTAGCATGCAGTGGTTTTATGCCATGTTTATATATGTATTATTTATGAATTGATTTATAATCTATTGTTTATAAGTTATATTGCAGTTATGTATTATAGTATGTCATAGTAATATATACTATAATATATAGTCATATATAATTCAATTTTATTGAAGTGTTAAAGTATGTTTTACTATTTCTCAGAGAAGATAAAATGAAGTATTATATTCCAATGATATGTGCTATCCTTATTAATGTAAAGGTCCAATGATTTTTAATGATGCAATAAAAGACATTTAGTTACCCATTTAATTTATTTTATAGGTCAAAACCTTGTATTCTATATGAATTTATTACTCTTCTTTGCTCTATTAAATAGTTTGTGGGATAGACAGTAGAACACTATGTAATCTCTACTTAAACAATCACTTTCTTGGCTCTACATACTATATACTGCAGGTTAGTGATTAACTCCAGAGAGGTAAATGTTAAACTTAATATGGTACAAGATTGAAAAGAGAGGCTAATGTCTTTCTCCAATCATAGTGTCACATTGTAAAGTATTAATATTAGGGAAGTATTTAATAGCTTATTTGGAGGGATTTCAAGAAAAGTGAGAAGAATTTAAATGAAATTATAGAATACAAAAGAAAATGAGTTAAAAAAGTGGGTTAGAAGAAAAAGTGGGTTGGGGCTTTGTAACAGAGAGAATGGCCTGAAAAAGAGGGTAAAAATGTTTTCTGTCTTTTTAAAACCTCCCCCACTCTTTTTGGGAATTGAAACCTGCATCCCCATCTCAGGCCAGTGGTTGGAGGGGCAGGGGAATGTCCTTTGTTCTTTGTACTGTAAGAGATGTCTCAATGAAATTGTCCAGGGGGAGAGGAGGTCTGGTGGGTTGAGGTCGTGAGATTGTCTTCCCTGGAGATGGGGCGATCACTAGGGTGATCACATGACAGCAATACTGTCCAGGGATTAGGAGGATTTGGAGGGGGGTAAATCCACAACTAAAGGACATGGGGAGCATTGTAGCAGGGAAGGGCATGCCTTTAACCCGCACTTGGGGGAGGCAAAGACATAAAGTGTAACCATAATGTTTGTACCCTCATAATACCCTGAAATAGAAATAAAAAAACAAATTAAAAAAAATTTTATATTAAAGCAAGTTATAGTTTAAAAAAAAAAAAAGAATCATTAGCTGTACTTTAACAATAGCTTGAAGCTGAAAACCCTCTTTAAAAGCTCTGTGTTTCTGCTTATGTAGAGGACAGTGGTACTTTTAAGATGGGAGTCTGTCATTCCCCTCATTTGCTGGCAAATTAATAAATTCCTCTTTCCTTTTCCTCAACCACTTGTCCTCGTTCTTCTGCTGTGGCCTAAGAGACAAGTGCCAAGCTTTCAGTAACAGCTTCTTGGTCCCTAGTATGGTATTGAGCCAACATATAATATTATATCCTCTTCTCTCTTCATTTGTTTGTTTGTTTCTTACTTCAAGGGATGACTTGGTCTCTGCATGTCTGTCACTGTTTCTCTGACACTGAGATACATTAGTTAGCTGAGACATTAGTATTAGCTCTCTCTGATTTTCGTCTTCCGCGTCCCCCCCAAACTTTCAGTGTCTCTTTTTACTCTTTTTTTCTGACTATTCTGTCATGGATCGTGTTGAGACTCCTCATTTCTATGTTTCATGGATTATAAATCAAATATATAAATTATTGTTGGATAGTTTGATATTAGGCCAATATATAAGTAATTTACATTTATATGGTATCTTCCACATTAACAAATGGATTATCTAATCTGCTTTTTACAACAGTCTTCACATACTATCCCTATTTTGAATGAAATGATATTAATATTCAGAAAAATTAAAGTAGCAGTCTTCCATTTACTCAGTAAATGGAGTAACTGAGATAAGTACAACTGTTTCTTTGGGACAAGCTATTATTTTCTGTCAGAGAAATTTAACTTTTAGTTACTCAAGATCCTGGTTGCTGGGTGTTTTTTAAAAATTTTTTAATTTTTTTTTTTTTTAACTCTGAGAAAGTGGTTAGTTCACCATAATATCAACTATATTAATAGGCATTCAAATATTAATATTGTTTTCATTGTTAGAAAAATATTTTGTTTTCAATAAAGACTAAAATTACTTTCTTTTAGACTAAAAAATCCATTTTTTGAATATGTGATGTAGTTCACTTAAATAACATTTTATGCTAAATAATTTAAATTGTAAGTGTGTTCATTATCTATTTTAACAGTTTCTTTAATCTTTCTTTCAGCTCAGTCATGTTAACCGTTCTGATTCCTTGGTTTCCAAATTGAGTGAGAGTCAGGATATTTTCAGTCCATCTTATAAAACAGCACAATTTGGAACATTATTTGAAAGATTAAACAGGTAGGCAAAGATTTTGAAGGAAGTAAAAAACCTGTAGTATTCTATATTCTCAATTATTTATTTGATTTTAAAGGACACAAATATTAGTTAGAAATATAAACAGACCTAACTAATACTTATAGAAAAAAAATCACCAAGTAAAATGTGTCATTTAATTAAAATAGTTTAAGTAATTTCTAACATGCACATTTACATTTCATTTACTTAGTTTTAAAAATATTTTGGACAAAGGTATTTTGCACATTTTGTAATTTTCATGAATTATTTTTCTACATCATAAAAGTACTGATTTTTTCACATTTATGATAGTTGAGCAGAATCCCTCTTTTATTTTTCAGAGGTTTGTATATACAGTCCAGTGGATGCCCAAAACTACTGCAGATAGTACTGAACCCTATGGATGCTATGTTTTTTCTTATACATACATACCTATGATAAAGTTTAACTTGCAGGTTAAGCACAGTAAGAGATTAACCATGACTAATAATAAAATAGTACGGTATGCTGTAATAAATGTTATGTGAATGTGGTCTTGCAGTCTCTGTCTCTCTCAGAATATCATACTATATCACCTATTTTTGGACCATGGTTGACCATGGGTGACTGAAACTGTGAAACGTGAAACTGTGGATAATGGGGGAATACTGTAAACCTTAGATTGTTGTTTTAAAATCCATTAAGCTTTTAAAACCAGTTTGACTCATTCCTGATAATGTAATGAGAAACATTCACTCTGTCATTCTATCCTAGTCTTTTTTATTTTAGTAAATGGCATTACTATTCATTTAGTTGCTAAAGCCAAAAAAAAAAGTTGTCCTTGATTCCTTCCTTTCCTTCAACTCCCAATATCCACTTTATTAACAAAGTGTTATTAATTCTATATTTTAATAAACTTTAAAATTTTCTATTCACATTTCTATCTCTATGTGTTCCATCACAGTCTAAGCCAGTGCTGTCTCTCGACTGGGGAATTATAATGCCACATAACAGTTCTTTTCATTTCTTCGTTCAGAGATTTTTTTTTTTTTTCAAAAACAGTTTTATGACTGTATAATTGACATAAAACCAACCGAACTTTTATGTAAAATATGCACTTTAGTAAGTTTGACAGTGTCAATGATAACATATATTCATCATCCCCATTGGTTTCTTTGGGCACTCTTGTAATCCCTTCTCTTGGTCACTTCACGTCCCATATCCCTGTCCCAAGGCAACCACTGATTTGCTTTCTGTCACTGTAGATTAATCTACATTTTCTAGAATTTTGTAAGTGGTATCATACACAGTGTGTTCTTTTTTGTTGTTTGGCCTCTCTCACATAGCATAATCATTTTGAGATTCATCTATGTTTGTTGCATGTACCCATACCTCATTCCTTTTTATTACAAAGTAGTATTCCGTTGTATAAACATAGCACAGTTTATTCATTTGGTGTTTCCCCCCCAGTTTTTGGCTGTTTCAAATAAAGCTGCTATGAAAGTTCACATACAAGTTTTTGGTTTTTTTTTGTTTTTTTTTTTTTGTTACCATCTATCTTTTTTTTTTTATTTCAGCAAATTATGAGTGTACATACGTTTAGGTTACGTGTGTTGCCCTTGGTTCCCCCCCCCACCGAAGTCCGTGTTTCAAATATGTCCATCCTTCGGATAGTGCGCATTGCACTCCTTGTGTATACAAATACCCGTCCCCTCCTCCCTCCTCCCCCACGTACAAGTTTTTGTTTCAACATATGCTTCATTTCTCTTGAGAACAAATGGAATGACTGGGTCATGTGGTAGTGTATGTTTAACTTTTTAAGCAACTGCCAAACTATTTTCCAAAGTGATTTGTATCATTTTACATTCCCATCAGCAATGTGTGAGAGATCCTATTGCAACACATTTTTGCCAACACTTGGTATAGTCTTCTTAAATTTAACCCATTCTGGTCAAGATGTTATGGTATCTCATTGTTTTTAATTTTCATTTCCCTAATGGCCAATGATTTTGGCCTCTCTCATGTGCATATTATCCATTTGTATATATTTGGTGAAATGCTTACCCTTTTCATTTTATTAATGGTACCTTTTTGAAGTGCAAAAGATTTTAATTTTGATGAAGTCCGGTTAATTTTTTGTTTATTAGTTGTAATTATGGTGTTAAAGCCAACAAATCTTTGCTCAACACAAGGTCATGAAGGTTTTCTTTTATGTTTTCTTCTGTTTCATAGTTTTAGATCTTACATTTAGGTCTATAATTCATTTTGAGTTAATTTTTATGTGTGGTTTGAGGTAAGGGTCTAAATCCATCATTTGCATTTGTGGAAAATAATATCCTCACTGAATTGCTTTGGTTTCTTTGTTGAAAATCAGTTGACCATGAATATAAGGGTTTTTTTTTTTTTCCCCTGGAGTCTTTCTTTTGTTTAGTTGATCTGAAGGTTACCCTTATGTTAGCACCACACTGTCTTCATTATGGTCGCTTTAAGTTTTGAAATCAAGAAACGTATTCATCCTCCAGTTTATTCTTTTCCAAATTTGGGTCTTATTAATCCTTTGGTTTCCATATAAGTTTTATGATCAGCTTGTCAGTTTCTGCAAAAATACCCCAAAACCAAAGTGATTATATCGAATCTATAGATCAATTTGGGGAGAATGGCCATCTTAACAGTAGTGACTCTTCTGATCCATGACCATGAAATATTTCTCATCTTCAATCTTCTTTAATTTCTCTAGTAATATAATGTACTTTTTAATATATAAGCCTTATGCTGCTTTTGTTAAATTTATTCCTAACTATTTTATTCTTTTTATGCTACTGTGAATGAAATTGCTTTCCTAATTTCATTTTTGGATTGTTCATTGCTAGTATTTGGAAATACAATTAAGCTTTGTATATTGATCTTGTATTTTTTGACCTTGACAAATTCATTATTAGTTCTAATAGTAGTCGAGTGGATTCTTTAGGATTTTTGGTATAGTGAATTATGTCATCTACACATAAAGATTTTTACCTATTCCTTTTCAATCTGGATGCCTTTTACTACAACTTTTTTTTTTTTTTTTTTTTTTTTTGAGACAGAATGTCACTGTGTAGTCTGGGCTAGAATACAGTGGCATCATCATAGCTCACTGCAACGTCGAATTCCTGGGCTAAAGCAGTCCTCCTGCCTCAGCCTCCCAAGTAGCTAGGAGTACAGGCTGGCACCACCACCAGCTCTGGTTACTTTTTTCTGTTTTTAGTAGAGACAGGGTCTTGCTGTTGCTCAGGCTGGTTACTGCCTTTTTTTTTTTTTTTTTAAACTTGATTTTTGCCGAAAGGCCAAGAATTGATTTTTTTACTTTTTGCCTGACGCTACTGACTAGAACCTCCAATAGCACTGGCAAGAGCAGACATGCTTGCATTGTTCCCAGTTTTAGGGAAAAAGCATTCAGTCTTTCACTATTAAGTATGATGTTAGCTGTAGCTTTTTTGTAGATTCCCTTTATCACGTTGAGAAAGTTTTCTTCTATTTCTAATTCATTAAGAATTTTTGTCATGGATTTTGTCAAATGTTCTTTCTGTGTTTTGAGATTATCACGTAGTTTTTTCCTTTATTAATTTATAATATATTAACTTATTTTCAGATCTTAAATCACTTTGTATTCCTGGGTTAAAAGCTGTTTGATCATGGTGTATAAGCCTTTCCATATGTTGCTGGATTTGGTTTTCTAATATTTGGTTGATGTTTTTTGTTTCTGTATTCATGAAGAAAATTGGTCTGAATTTTTCATTTCTTGTGTTATGTCTGGCTTGGTACCAGAATAAAACTGGCCTCATAGACCAAGTTGGAAAGTGTTTCCTTCTTTGTTTTGTAGATGAAGTTGTGAAGGATTGGTATTATTTCTTTCTTAAATGTTTCGTGGAATTCACCAGTGAAACCATCTGCACCTGGGCTTTTCTTAATGGGAAAAATTTTAATTACTAATTCTTTTTTCCACTTATGGTCAATTCTGATTTTCTAATTTCTTCTTGGGTCAGTTGTAGTAATTTGTATTTTTCTAAGAGTTTGTCCATTTCATCTAAGTTGCATGATTTGTTAGCATGAAGTTGTTTATATAATAGTATACCCTTGAAATCCTTTTAATTTCTGTAAGGTTGGTGGTGATGTCCCTTCTTTAATGCCAAATATTTGTCCTTTTTTTCTTTGTTAGTATAGCTAAAGATTTGTTAATTTTATTGTTTTTTTTTAAGAACTAAGTTTTAGTTTTAATAATTTTCTCTATTTTTCTGTTTTCCATTTTATAGATTTCTGTTCTAATGTTTATAATTTTCTTTTTCTGCTTGTTTTGGATTTAGTTTGCTCATTTTCTAGTTTCTTGAGGTATAAGCTTAACCCTTTGATTTGATATCTTTCCTCTTTTTTAATATAGGCATTTAAAGCTATTAATTTCCCTCTTACCACTGCTTAGAGGTCAACCAATGATTGGTCAGAGTTTCTGTTTAAACACCTAAAGCTAAGAAAGTTTTCCTCCAATATAAAGGATCTCATAATCAGCCAGGGATAAGTATATACCCAGTGCCCTCTCTGGTCTCTGCTGAGTGTGCACATAGCCTTGCACATTTGTGCAGCCTTCTAGACCACCAGGTATATCTGAGAGTTTATGAAAACCCATTATGACTATTTGTTTTCCAGATCTCTCTGAAATTTCTGGATGATTTTTGCTTAAACTAATATTGCAGGCAGCTGCAATGTTGGACTTCCCTAATGGTTTGCCACCAAAATTATGATTGTTTTTGACAAGCTCCCAGATATGGATCTCTCCCCACTTCCCCCCGAGACTGCTCAGTCTTGATAGAGCATGGATCTGGGGGTAGAGGGAAAGTACAGCCCCAGGCTAAAACTCTGTAGACTCCATCTTTTCCTACTAAGGTTCAGTAGTTTTTCTTGAAGTACTTCTTTTCAGTTTATTGCATGACTTTGATCACTGCCCAGATTCTGAAATGGTTGTTTTTTGTAAGTTTTGTCTGGTTTATCTTTGC